CCCATTATTTTGTATATTTTTCAGTATCATAAAAACGTTATAATGGCATCAGAATCAGGAGCAAAACCTTCCACAGACTTCAATTAAAGCAGAATCAGGCCCTCCTAACGAGTAAAAAACCTTTGCTGTCTCAAATAATCATAAGCAGATGTATTTATGCTTAGAGCTGTCCATAAGAAGTATACAAAGGTAATTTGTTCTAAAGGCCATTATACAATCTACTTCCTTTTAAGGGTCGTCCCCCCCCAATCTAAAGTGATTCCCTACTGAAATTCATTTTAGTCTCTTACTAGTTGTACAAAGGTATATGTTAAGAAAACTGAATGGTCTAGGTCTAAAGCCTTTACATGTGGAAAATTCCCCAAAATTAAGGGAAGTTTTATCTGAGAAGGGTCTTCATGAGTGGGTCAAGAGTAAGTACTAGAGGATTTCTTTTATTGTAGACACAAGCTGGATGAGTATCTTTTATTGAGCCGAGTTTTGTTGGTGAAAGAGACAAGCTTTAGAGCCATACAAAGCTCTTCTTTAGGCCTTTTTTTTTAATTACAGAGCAAGACTCTGATCCCTGTTTCCTATACTGAGTAGCACCGCTCCATGAGTGGTCCAGTTGGCTCATTTCATAAGGATGGCAGAATCAGATCCTTAGAAATAAAGCTCTGTTAAGTTAGTCTCCCTTCTCGACAGTGTGATTTTAACATTTAAAATAGGCACGCTGAACTTTTAGAAGAGATTTAATCTCCCTGGCCCGGAATAAAGGGAACATTTTAATTCAGTGTTGCTGAAAGTAAGGAACATTGAATATGACCACTGAACTCCAGCTAGCATCTAGATGGCTGACTTGGGAAATGAATGCAGTCTTTAGATCTTGAGCCTGGGAGCTTGTCCCTGAAACCTGAAATTTAGACTTTGACAAGTGGGAGAGCAGGACTAAGAACTTTTCCTTCTAACAATGTCTTGAGATGAGAGACCTTTAGACAGGATTAGCCATTGAAAACTCGGGCTCAAAGCCCTTGGTGAAAAGCAGAGCTGGATGGGAGATTGGGATGGGGTGCCTGTGGGGACTCACTGCATGGCCAAGGTTAAAATAGGATACAGCAGGCAGATGCTAAGCATCCGCAAACTGGTATGCCAATGCATCAGTCCTAATTTCCTATTATTGTACCAGGTGTCCTCCATGCCGAATGGGTGTGTGATGTTGTGATGTGTACAGCTTGCCGAACTCTTTCACTTGAGAAAGACAAAGACTTCTTGATTAACTTAAAAGTTGATTTGGAAAAAATTAACTTTTTGGCCAACCTTTGTGGTAGGCAGCATTTGTGTGCCAAAGGCAGGGTATCTGCCTGGATCAGCTACAGTAAGTTTCATTTACAGATGGTTGATCCATTTCCTTCTCGTTTATGTACTATGGGCCTATTGTGAAAGTACGGTAATGTCAATGGGTGTTGGATCAGGCCCTATGGATAGGAAGGCCTGACACAGGCCAGACACCCACTGAATCCAATGGGTGCTTGGTTCAAGTGGAGGCTTCAAAATTTATCCCCTAGAAGCTAGGTCAGTCTGAGCACATCTGTTAAACGCATATACTTACGATGAACAAGTGCATACACAAGAGCAAGGATGTGAAGATTTTGTTCTACAATGGTAGCAGCATACATATTAACATCTTTCAAAAAAGTGAATAAAAACTATTTATGTCACTAAACCAATACAAATTATACTATTACTTTAATATTCATGGAAACTAACTGCTAGTCTAGTAACTTTTGGCAACTGAATACCATTAAAAATTGGGTTCAGATATGGAAAAAGGTGCCTACCAGGATTTTCAGAAGTGCCTATGTACTTAACATCCATTGAAAGCATTCTGGAAATCCTAGTAGGCACCTAATCTGTCCCCTTGTCCTTTTCAATTTAAGCTTTATTATTTAAACATTGTCTTTCTGATTTGTTCTAATTTGACTTCAATTTAAGATAGTCCTAAATATGTAATTTTTACATTTGCAGCTAATTTTGCAGCTCCCACTTGCTAAAACATCAAACAAATTAGCTTATGTTTTGGGGGAGGAAGGTTAGGGGAAAAAAGCAGATCGAGACAAGCTCTCTGGCCCAATTCTGTGTAAATCCCAGCAGTATTAACTTAGGCATCCTATGCACTAGAACTGCAGCACCATGGACATAAGTGAACTATAGAAGAATTTCAAAAATTAGTTCTCATGGGACTCAACAGTAGTTTGAATCACCTGCTGTTAGCATAAATTGTATCTTACTTATCTTAAAATGGGTTCTACTATTATATGACTACAATCTCATGATATTCTATTGCCATAGAATACTGAGAGAATGCAAATGGCTTTTCCAACTTGTACTTTTCCCCCAACTTATTTTCATTACAGACAAGCAATTTCTAAACGTACTGTTTTGTGCCTGACCAGAATACAAATACTTTTTAAATGCTCGTAAGGTTAATAAGCACTCCAATCTCGTAAAAAAGCTATTCCCTATTTCTCACGTGGTTAGTCATTACCCTAGTGAACCAATAGTTCAGGACTTTTCTTCAGCAGATAAGAGATGATGCATTTGTCTTTTTACCTTAGTGAAGACAGGGATTTTGATAATTAAACATTAATGCTGATACATATAAACCCTAGAAAGGGAAAGCAAAAAGTCAGTAGCCATGCATGTTCCCCCATGGATTATTAAGGTACATTTCTGACAAAGGACGTTGACAAGCAATGAAGTTGCAGGATTCACATTTACATTTTTTAAAAACAGTTGCACATTTAAGTTTGGCACAAAGTGAGCCTACGGTGTAGGTAAAATATACGGTATAATCGTATACCCTTAACACCTGTCCTGAACAAACATCTATATTTTAAAAATATCACATTTTGAGTATAAAAGCTAGGCTATAAATGATTATACAGTAAACTGAATACTCTGAAAAAGTGGAAAACAGCATTATAATTTTTTAAGTTCGCATTTTATATAGGAAAGTTACAGCAAGTAACTAGTTGTCAAATGACATTTCCCAATGTGGAATGCCATGTGGGCCATATTAGATAAGATATGGCATCTTCTGAAATCACTCTTCATTTTGTTTAAACTGATTCACTATGAAGAGATCAATTCAATTACAGTTTATGTATTTCAAAAATCTAATCACATACTTCGCTGAGAAGGCAATTCAGCTGGAAAAGTAAATTCGGTAGTGAAAGATTAAAATAAAGGCACTAAAAGTTTCTACAACTAATACTCAAGCTACTTTACAATCCTTATATTTCTGAAGAGGAATTAAGTGGTTATGGTAGCTACCTAAAACTAGTTTCACCTTCTTTCCAAAACTTAACTGTTCTTGAGAAATACCTTGCCTCTCATATCAAAGAGATTTCACTGAACAGAGTTTCCATAATTAATGTCAAAGTTACTAACATCCTTCCCAGATAGAACGGTTACAAGCAAAAAACCTCATTAGGTGCAGCCACTATAGTTAAGTTGAAAAAAGATAAGTTAAATAAATCAAATCTAAGGTTATGTATATCAACCTCTCACCGCACTGTCTGAATAATCTTTATGGTGAGCTATACAAGATGAATAAATCTTATTATTTATGCAATGTTTTATACAGGAGAGATTCAGATACACAGTTTGTTGGGCAGCTTCTTATCTTGGCTTTAAAAAGTTAGTAATTTCTTTCTCACACGGCTTTTCATGCAAATAGACTGCCATCCAAAAGTGCAGAAAAATGAATTTAAATGTACAATCATTTAGTTTTCCAATCTGGAACAGCTAAAACAAAAACCCCATGATGTGGTGTCACAGCAAGTTATTAAGGGAAGGAGGAAGAAAACTAATTTTAGTAGTATACTGGTCCATGTTTGTTTGTTTCCCTCAATGAAAGTTGTTAAAAGGGCTATTCTGCAGTCTTCAATGTAAACGTTTTCTTACATCGTCTACAACTCAGAAAAACTTTAGAAAGCCTAACCAGTTTGCTTCTAATACATGTAAAAGCAATTAAAGCCACCCTTCTTATAGTAAACAGAAAACAAAAGCCAAAACAAAAGACTTTTAGCAGTGACTGCTATGTCCTACTGGGTAAGTTTAAGCATGAATTTAGGCACTTCACTGGTTCATTAACACAATCCAAAGTAAAGCTATAAACACTGAAATGTTGTGCTCTTAAAATCAGTCTAGTCAAGCAACACAAAACAATGCAAAAATGTGATATTTTTGGCAGCTTATTTCTTCCCCAGTATTAGCAGTTGTCCAAGTTTAATTTTGTGGATGCTTTGGCACTTAAATATCAGATTGCTCAAACCATACAAGCTAAAACAAAAATGCAAAGCCTTGGACAATAAAGAAATTGTTTTAAAATTTCTTTATGGCTGTATAAAAAGGGCACTTTAGCCATGACATAATAGGGAAAAAGCTTGCTTTCTTTTTAAATATTGCACTTTTCTTTTGTTCACACACATTAATGCATAGAAACACAATTTTAGCTTTGAATGCTAAAGTATTCTGACACTATGAATGAAAAAATCCTAGAAAATAAATGTCTATAATCTAATAGGAAAGCCACATGTAAGATAGCCTTCCTTTGCTTTACTTAAACTATAAAATGCACTGGAAAAAGGAGAGTGCAAAAAATTTTTTTGGTCAGTCTGTTAATACATTTACAGGCACCAACTAAGTGAACTTGCAAGCAACACTATGATGAGCATGTATGCTGTAAAGACGACTGAGGGTGACTGTCTGTAAGACAAAATTATCCATGATTGAACCATAATATGTACAACTGAAATGGATCATTGTGAAACCTCTTCTTTTGGAAAAATAACTGAATTTTCCATTTCAGTAGCATGCTGTAGAATTTATCATGATTAATGTCACATTAAAATGTGGACCATTGTTGGCATTACACTTCACATCACCTTCAATTGCTGTAGTAAAACAGTGCCTGACAAGTAGTCTCCAGGAGATAAAGAATCCAGTAGCCATTTCAGTGTCATAGATCACGTTTCTCTCTACTAGAGTTAGGACATGGCATTACGATCTCTTAGTACATCCAAAAAAATCTTTGCTGAATTCCACTAATCTGAAAAATGATTGCTTGAAAAGATAAACACTTTTTTGTATTTAAGAACAAAGCACTAGAGTTGAGTATAACAAAATTAGTCTTAGGATTTTGACCAGTATCTTGAAATCCAACTAGAAAAAGTAGTGCTCCTCTGTTATTTTTGATATCATTAGTAATGTTAAGCATCAAGAAAATAAAACACGTCATTGCACATTACAGCCGCCAAAAATACGGCTAAACTTTGACACTAGAGAATTGAGTAACTTGATGCTACATCACATACAGCTTCTGGTGTGTATCTATTTCAAAAGTCTTTACGTAGCAATTAAACTTCCTTTGCCCTCTCTAAATTGATGCTTCAGGTCAAGTGTCGAGTTATGGCACGAAGGGCATATAGAAGTTCTGCTTGCATACGGGCTTCCATTAAAAGTAGGTTTACATGGACCTGTTTAAAATAATTAAAAAAAAGGCATTTAGTTCACTATTACATATCAACCAGCAGAAGAGTTTAATCAATTATCTTACAGATTTAGACGTTTGTGCTAACTAAAAATAGCTGCATCACTTCTCTCTACATACTAGTGTCATGTGGTAGACTGAAGTGTTGCTATTTCTTCTCCAGATTGCTATCTAATATGCCAATTTTATCTGACATTCTAAACTCCCCAGTAACAAGCCCTAATTACAGATTTAAGCAGTGTTCCATCTGTTTTAAAAGAACTCACAGCAAAACAATGGATGTATGGTAACAGCAATCATGAGAGAAGATTTTCATTTCACTATGACTATGAACATTATACTCTGGGGACTAGATTTCTGTTATCAATGTTGTATCTTCAGTCCACATGCCAAACACCATACGAAATCAACTGTCAAATAACTGCAACCTTAGGAATGGCAAATTATTCCAATGAAGACAGGCTGGTTTCAGATTGATATTTACTTAACAACAAGGAATAAAAAATGCACATAGCACTGCTTGCTGCTTTAGCATCTGGGCTTACTGCACAGCTGTCTCAGGAACTTCGAGCAGCATGATGTCTCCTAGTGCAATGCTGGGGCACTGGCTCAGATACCACATTAGAAGAGAAGAATACTGACTACTGAATCTCTCACATCATTCCCTGCAACTTCTAGGTCTCTCTTTTATGTATCCCATCTAAGTTTTGATCAGGTCTGTTCCAGCTTAGCTGGTGATATTAGGAGACCTAGCAGTTATCAATAAAGGAAGATCAACTGTAGCTTTATCTCATCTATTACAGGTCTTTAAGAAAGTCTGCTTCTATTGAAGATCCAATCATCATGATTGGAGGCATCTATAGTAGCAGTTCAGAAAAAGTTTTATAGATTAGAGAAAGGACAAAAAGAGCAGTATTTTGGCCATGGATATTGCTGGACCAAAAAGCTCCATGAGGTAGTGGGGTTGGTAGCAGCCGGACAGCAGCAGCTAGGCAGCCCCAGTCGGAAACCCCCAGAGGCAGTGGGGCTGGAAGTGGCCGGGGAGCCCTGGCTGGGGAACCCCTGGCAAGCCCCAGCGTAATGGGTGGGGAGCTTCAGCTGGACCAGCTTTAGTGAGGCAGTGGCAGGGGAGCCCCAGCCTTGGGAGTGCCAGAGAAATGAACTGGCAGCAGGGCAGCCAGCAGGGGAGCACTGGTCCAGCAAACTCCCTGGTCTGGATGACTCAGGTCTCAAGGGTGCCGGACCAAGGAGGTCCAACCTGTAGTAATTTTTATTATCAGAGGGGGGTGAGGGTGCAAGGGAGTCATGGTGCAATGAAGTTTGAGAATCCCTGATCTAGCTTCATATAGGAATCACAAGAGACTGTCCACAGTTTGCTCATTAAGAAAATGTTTTTGCAACAGTTAAATTTAACATTCATAGAACTAACATGTATTGTTTTGCTGTACAGTACTTAATATTTAAGCTTTTATTTTACGGTTAAGAAAGTTAGCTCTCCTATACACACCCTTTTGCAAACCATCTTATTATTTGCACTGTTTGCACAGCACAGGGCCTCTTATCTAACGTGTTTGGCTATGAAACACTTACCTTCTCTGAATGCTTGAACTGACGCCAATAACTATCGTACATGCGCTTGGTAGTTCTCTCTGGGTAGCAGGTCACTGTCTTAATGTAAACCTTCAGGCTGCGTTCAAGTAACTGATTAACTTCCCCATAATCATAATCATCATACCTAAGCAAAATAAGGCAGACTGAATATTTTTTTGGACCCACATGGTTTTTTAAATTCTGAAACTACATGTTTTTATGAACTGAAATACTAGAAGGAACAGTTATTTATCCTGTACAGTAACTGGAGATGTTCGAGATTCATTACCTTATGAGTGGTTCAGTATCAGGGCATGCACATACCTATACACTTTTGATTTTGCAAACTATGTCCACAAGTCCGTGCCTGCAGCCCAGAAATCCTCATGCTCTGGAACAAGGGCATATGGGAGGGAGGCAGACCAGCCAGAAGGCTAGTTCCTTTTCAATCCAGTGAAGTCCAGTGAAAGATTTTAAGGCAGAGGGGAAGAAGGGTGGGAAGTGGAATACCCACAGGGACATACCTTGAAGAATTCCAGTTAACTCCTGTTTTGAGTAGTGTCCCTATGTGTGTTCCATATCAGAAGATTCATGAGCATTTATGGAGGAGAGTGCCAAAGAGGTGGATTCAGTACAAAAGCATGACTGGAGCAATTTAATCTCTAAAAATGGAAGAGCTCAGTGCCAGTAAAACATATGCAGTGAAGACTAGATGGCTGCCCTGCAGATATCAAGAACTGTATGTTTTTCAGTACCCAATGGAATGAACAATAACTTGTGTGTGCGCGCATGTACAAGTATGTGTGTGTAAACCACCGAGGCTTGTAACTGGTTAAGAGGCATCCTGAAATCCATTTGAACAGTTTGCATGGAAACTGCATCTTTTTTCGTGCATTCTGCAATTGAGATGAAAGGACTGGGTGAAGCCCTAAAGGGCCTAGTCCTATATGGGTAAAAAGCAAGGGGTCTTCTTACGTTCAGTGTATGGAGGCTCGTTTCTCCTCTTGAATACTGAGACTTGAAATAAACACCAGCAAGAGACCTTATTTAACAGAACACTGTGTATAGTGCGTAAGCCACCTATAAGGAATGAGGCATTACGGGACAGATGAATATTTGTCATGGTTCAACTGGGTGTTTTGTTTGTTTTTTAAGCACATTGAGAGCTGAAGTCCCATTATATAGAAGTTCCTTGACAGAAGGGAAGAGTGAACAGGCCCTCATAGGGGCTGGGTAGGTGAAGACTGAAAACTCTGTGATAGGGAGAGAAAAGCTGTGACAGCAACTAGGTGAACTTTCATGGAACTCAGCAATAATCCCCCGGCTTTTAAATTGAACAGGTAATAGAGATGGTGCATTACACACGACTTGAAAGGCAATATATATTGGTGACTGCATGAAGTCATTTCCACTTCTGCAGGTAAGTTTTCTGCTACGAAGCAGTACTGTTTGTATTATGAAAAGCAGTCTTGTTCTACATTAGGGAGCCATCTAAATAGCTACACCCTGAGATGAACTACTGATAAGTTTGGGTGGGTGATGGAGCCCAACTTCTGGGTGACAAGATTTGTGGTCAGAGAAGAGACAATCACAGGGGCATGCAAACCAGCTCTGGCTCTTTGAATACTGTGCTATGGAGGATGGCTACTTATTTTTGTCTTGTTAAGTTTATCCAAGAAGTGAAGTAAAGAAGTCAGGGGATAAACATATACCAATATATGAGGTCAAGCAATGACTAAGGCATCTCCTTTTTGTTTACAACCATTCACTTCCCTTGAGGAAAGCTGAGTACACTTCACATTAGATGGAGTTACAAAGATTTGTGAATGACACATGTAACATCTGGAATACTTCATTCATCTCCCACTCATGGTTGATGCTGATAAGGGAGTTCACCACTGATTCTGCAGTCCTGGCAGTTAAAATATTGTGATCTGTATGTGGGGTAATACAAACCAGTCACACATTTTATGTGCCCATTTGATGTATAAATACTGGGGTCTTCCTCCTTCTTGACAACTGGTATAATGTATAGCTGCTTAGCTGCTCTGTCATCCAATATTATTTTGACTGAATGGCCCCTGACATGACTTGCATAACAAACCACTCTGAGTTCTAATATATTGATACGGAAGATCACTTCCTGAGGGGGTTCATTTGCCGTGGATTATAAGGTTTTGAGAGTGTGCACTTCAGACTATTTAAAGAGGGATCTATCATGAAGCATAGTGGGATCAGGCTGCAAGAAAAGGAGCTCCATGTTGAGTGGAACCAACATATTATCTGTTCCATTCAATAACTGCCTCTCTGACCAGGGAGTTGGGTGAATAATGGAAGGGGAAAACCCCCAAAACATTCTGAGTCTTTGGGTTGTATTTTCTGTCATCCCATTTACACACAGTTAGTATAGTAATTAGAGTTTGCTACACAGAGGTCAAAAGAACGTCACTGAGGGGCAAGATGATTTTGCCTGGAGATGTATAAAGATTGTCCAATAGGGAATGTTGGTGTTCTTATGTCTCTTCCAATGGAATATGTAGGATTTTTGGTAAAGATCTTGAATGGCTTTGAAATCATCAGCATAAGACAGTAGGGGAGGCAAAATTAAGAGAAAGGGGTTATGTTCCTCCCCGCCCAAAAAAAGCAAGAACAGAGCCAAAAATACAAAAATAAAGATATATTGAGAAAAGAAGGAATTACACGTGAGAGAGGTAGCAAGCTGTGTAGCTAGTTTGGTAGCTAGCTAATGGACACAATGATGTTCCATGTCAAGCCATAGGTGGTTGAGAAAGGAACAGGTGTAGCACTAGGTAGTATACTCCTATACCAGAGCATGAGAGTATCTGAGGCACAGGCAGGGATTCACAGACAGTGCTGAACATCACTGATCAACAGCGAATAGGTGTTCACACTTCCTGACATGGCGAGCCTATAGGGACACTACTCAAAGAAAAACAAAAGTTCCTCAGTTCCTCAGAGCCTTTTAAATAGTGCAGTTATTTACTTTTTTCTGACCTGACAATGTTGTCCATGAGTTCAGAGAAGACAGATTTCTGTAAAAATATCAATCCTAATTTGATTCTGTAAAAACCATTTTTTAAAATTGATTAAATTATACTGCCACCAGTATTTGTATCAATTTCACTGCAGAAAACAAATCTAAAAGCCACAGACACCAATTCTAAAACACTGCTTTAGTGTGATCAAAATTTCTGTTCCTATCCTGAAGTAAATATATTTAGCTTGTATGTTTCCAAATATACTTATTAAACAGGTCAATTTGTCACAAACCTGATTCCAAACATACAGTGAACGTAGTTAAATAAAGCTCTTCTCAACATGGTTGTGTCAACACCTTCATGCGTAGCCATAGTGTTGTATGTGAGGTTGTAGACCATTCGAAACTTCTCATCCAGGAGATGCCCAATATCAGAATAAAGCCTGTTCACAAGGGAGAAGCCATGATTTTCCCAGGTATAATCCTGTAAGAGCATAAAGAAATACATTAGTGATGCATAAATATGAAAATAGTGCCATACATACCCAGCTGATCCTCCCTCTGGTTTCTCTCCCACCTGAAGATCTTGTTATCTCATTCTGCTTTATTAATTTAATTGTTCTGTCCCTGCACCAAAGGGAGGTTTTGATCAGTAAATTTTCTCTGACAAGGTCTGCTTTAATCCTGAGGTCCTGCAGATTTGGTTCAGATTAGAAAATATTCACCCTGATATTATTCAGCAACTGCTGCTTTGGTAAGCTATGAGCTAGAGCAGAAGACTGGGAATGTCTTGTTCCTTAAAGACTTCACTCATGCACCAATGATTAAAAAAAAAAAAAAGAGGTAGCAGAATGAAAAATGCTGCCAACAGTGCCTGAGCAGCAACAGTTTTGCAGGCTACTACTTTACATGTAACCACTTTGGGGCAGGGATTATCTTATCCTATGTTCATAAAGTGCCTAGAATAATGAGTCCTTGCTCCATCACTGAGGTCTCTGTCTGAGTGCTTTTGTAATACACTTGTTACAACAGAAGATCCGATTACGAAAAAGTGTCTCATATTCTAGCACCATTCAGCCTATTAAGCAATTGAACAATTTAGCTATTCAGAAGAAGGTGAAACTTTTGAAGCTAGAAGACAGTAACTGTAAATCCTTGCCTGCCAACAGAGACATTTTAGTATAACCTTCCCTACAGCTCTTCAGAAGCAGTACTGTACATGCCTAACATTGTCTCAAGCCAATGATGATTATCAGTTTTCTCCCAGGAGAGTCTTCTAAAGTTCCTAGAAATTCCAGCAGTATCTTTGATCTCACAAGCACAAACTTGGCCATATTCCTGTTCATAATACACTTCTGTGGTATGGATGTAAAATGTCGCTTAAAAAGTTAACTGTATAACTACTTTTTAAGCTCTATATTGCAGAGTTCACAGTGAAGCCGCCCTGGGAGCAGGGCTGGTAAGGGCTACTAGCTCCGAACATGTGGAGGAGGCTTTGGTGTCACAGTGAAGCCGCATTCCCAGGAGTGAGGCTAGCTACCTTCTGCTGGCTCTGCTCCGGTGGAAGCTTTGCTGTGGGCTCTGTAGCTGGTTCCCCAGGAGCAGGGCTGGCAGCTCCTGCCGGCCCTACTCCTGGGGAGCCAGCATGTAACCTGCAGTGGGGGGAGAGGGGCGGGCTGGCTGAGGTTTACCAGTTAACATTCCCTACTCTGCGGTGGCCCAGGTGGAAACTCTAAAATATGGTACTCTCTGGTCTGGCAACACCATAGATATTGCTGGACCAGACAGCCTGGCTGGGAATAGGGGTGGCCAGGGTCAGAAGCACAGCCCCAGCTGGTGGCAGCAGAGCCCGAGGCCAGGAGTGCAGCCCAGACCTGCAGTGGGGAGTGCAGCCCTGGCCAGGGCTGGCAGCAGCAGGGATGGTGTGGCTGGGAGTGCAGTCCCGGCTGGGGCTGGCGGCAGCAAGACTGCTGCAGCAGGAAGTGCAGCCCTGGTCAGGGGTGGGAACGGGGCTGATGCCCAGGAGGAGAGCCTTGACTTCTCAAGTCTGGAAAACTCCCTGGTTTAGGACCACTCAGGTTCTGAGGATACTGGATCAGGGAGGTCCAACCTGTATGTGTGTTTCCTCCCAAAATATGGTTTACTGTACATGAAAAATTGCAGCGTGAATTCATACTGATCATCACAGACCACTGTAAATTTACGAGCTTGTCAACACATGGCATTATTTAGGAATAGCTACTGAGCTTTAACACTCTACTTTAATCCAAATTAACTTTCAAGTATAGACAAGCCTTATTATGTCTGTTGAGAGAAACCACGACCTACCATATTTTACCAAGGAATTTTCTTTTGTATACAAGTGCTCTGACATGATTAAAGATTTTCCCATTACTTGCAGTTTTTTAATATTAGTTTCCCAGGTGATCAAACACCTAGGCTGCATCTAGACTGGCAAGTTTTTCCGCAAAAGCGCCTGCTTTTGTGCAAAAACTTGCCAGCTGTCTACACTGGCTGCTTGATTTTGCACAAAAGCACTGACATTCTACTGTCCGAAATCAGTGCTTCTTGCACAAATGCTTTGACGTTCCCATTCGGGCAAAAGCCCTTTTCCGGAAATGTTTTTGCGCAAGAGGGCCAGTGTAGACAGCTAAAAACTGTTTTGCGCGAAAAAGCCCCCATGGCAAAAATGGCAATCGGGGCTTTCTTGCGCAAAACCGCATCTAGATTGGCACGGACGCTTTTCCGCAAGAAGTGCTTTTGCAGAAAAGCGTTTTTCCGCAAATGCTTTTAACGGAAAAACTTTTCCGTTAAAAGCATTTGCGGAAAATCATGCCAGTCTAGACGTAGCCCTAGAGCTTTCTTTTTTGTTTTTATTTGTATCGTAATAGTACATAGGAGCCCTAGTCAAGGATTAGGGCCCTACAGTGCTAGACACTGCACAGACATAAAACAGATACCAGTTACATACACTTCTTCTGTTAATACAATAGAAGACCTACTGCACCATGGCCTGGTTATTACAATTAATGTGGGTGGCAGGGGGCTAGTCATCCAACTGAAGCTATGGAAGTCTCCTCATTTGTGATAATCTAACAGCTGACTGAACAAAATGCTACAAATATAAAAATATACCATAAGGAACAGTTATCTACTTGGGCTATATCTACACTTAACACTACAGTGGCATGGCTGCAGCACCTGAACTTCAGTAGAAACAAATACTCCAGTGACCAGTATCTATACATTGTTATAGGTAATCTACCCTCCTGTAAGGCAGTAGGTAGGTTGACAGAAGAATTCTAGATCTAGCACTATCTGTATCAGGAATTAGGTTGGCTTAACTGTACCCCTTTCAGACCACTGAGGAATTTAGCAATGGTGATCTAATTTTTCAGTGTAGACCAGCTTTTGGTCCTCTGCTTGGGCATGGGCATTTAAAAAGAATTTTTTGCTACTACTCCATCTTATTTTTCCAGTAGAGAGAGACTTAGGGCATATCTGCAAGTCTTTACTTGCTATGAGGCATAAAGCTACAGTACATCAAAGGGCAATAGGGAACTTTAAGTGTGCAGCAGCACAGTCCACATATACAGTGAGTGCAAGGCATGCTAATGTGCTGTAAATGGGTGCCCTAGCTTGCAGAACAGCAAGTATTCATTCAGATATGCCCTGAGAATGCTGGCGTTAATTTATTTTTAAAAATAAGTGCATTTAAAGTACCTGAGCTCGGAATGTTGGCAGATGTTCTTCTCCCCTCCTGGCAAAGTCTTTGTACCCAAAACCAGGATCTTCAACATAGCGGGAGACATCCGATGTAGAAACAATTTCATCATCAAATGCTGAGAAGGACAGAAAAATGCTGTGTATAAGTATGGAAGCTGTTGTACCCTTCTAACCCACTCCTCAACAAAGACTACGAACTATAAGGTGCACTGACCAAAGTATTTAGAAGGTTTGCAACTAATTCAATGTACAAAAAAAAAGAGGATAAATGTTGGTGTAGGAAGAGTGTTGGGAGAATTTCAATCAATTTCCATTCAGTTTATGATACTTCATGTGTGCATATTTGTCAATGTCTAATTCAAAGTAATTTGTTTGATTTACGAGTTTCAAGTAAACATTTATTCTTACTCTTCTCCCTCTTTCAGAGATTTTCTAAAACTCATTAAAACTCTGAAACAAGGGGCAAGATGTTTTTAAACAGACTGAAAGATTGGATTAGACAATGAGGTTAGTAACAAGAAATCTGGAGAAGGGGAAGAATTCATTAGTGAAGATTTGAAATGATCTGGGAATGGATCAGAAATTTATTTGTTGGAATAGGCAGCAACAGTTCAATTTCAGAGACAAAGCAAGAAAAGTTGGGATTTATGCATAAGTTGAGGGGGTAGATGTCAATGATAACCCTAATGCTGCCTACAGTGTTAGGAAGAATGAAGGTGTGTCTCAATGGTGAATGGAAATAGCACAGAGCTCAGAAGGAAGGCAAGTTGGCCCTACTGAATTTGAGATTACAGCAGGCTATATTCAAGAGAAGTGAAAACGTAAGACTGAACAAAAGTGGTATGTCCTTTTATAGTACTGTTTATTACAAAAAACAAAACAACCCTTTAAGTTACAACACACAACTATAGTTCATGTTTTTCTTACAATATACAAATTATCAAAGTGTTAAGACAGCACATGCCTCATCTGAAGAAGTGGGTCGCACCCACGAAAGCTACATGTTTATACCATCTACATGTTTTGTTAGTCTTTAAGGTGCTACTGAACTATTTGTTGTTTGTTTAGGTTTTTCCTGTTACACGGATTCTGACCAGGTGAAAATAAGAGGCTACTGAGGAGGTGTCATCTCACACAGCTTCAGACAATCTTGCCTCCACCACAAGGCTACGTACAATTGCATGTGAAGGCCAATGGACATTGCTGCAAAACCTTCCAGCTTCAGCACATGGTGTGCATGCACACCTGCATTTGGAACACCTACAAGGACTGTCATTTGAAGAACTAAATGATACAAGACTTTTGGCTTGTAGATATCAGTTGAAAACAATAGGAAAGCAAAGAGTGCTACAGTACCTTCAGCTCTAGGCTGAACTTATGCCAAGAGTTACAGTAACTATATGGCCCTGAAGAGTTCCAACAATGTGTTACTGAGGACAGGCTCTCTAGCAGGAATCAATTTATATCCATTGAACAAACAGGTGGTTTGATGTGTAACTACCTTTTCAGAAGCTGATTACCACATAGCCGACTGCATTTGACCCTTACATTAAACGCTGGCTCACTTCCACATGCATTGACAGAAAAGCTGCCAGATGTCCATTGTTCACACCTTTAAAAATATCAGTTAATCTAAGACTCACAGGGATGCTTTACCTTCTCGCTGGCTCATTAACCAAGACATAACTGTATGGGAAGAAACCTGCATGGCACCTGTCCTAGGTAATCACCCCCTGAAGTTTTTTTTTTTTTTAAAATACAGCCTGTTGACACCAAATATTTTAATCCCTGAATTTTATGGGAGACAAAGATACATGACACAGCTTTGCTCCCTACCAACCAAAATGGTGATAAACCCTACACCACACAATACTATTGCTATTGATTTTACATAGAAGGTGGGCAGATACTGTGGTGATAGGCAGCAATATAAAATCCAAAAATAGAAACTGAGACAAATTCTATGTATTTGCCACAGTTATCTAAATTGAATGATCTTACATGATAATGAAAATTACATTCTCAACAGATTTTTTTTAGATCTAATGATGACAAACAGTTCAAAGACACAACCATTTTGCAAAAAGTCAGGCAGCATAGCCACTGTTCGTTGGGTTTTTTCCCCCAAAAAAATGTACTTTCACCCCCAATGAGCAGCATTTGTATTGTTGGCAGAAGAGCGCTCCTGTTGACAACATGCTGCTCATACTTAAAAAACGAGTAGTCCTGTAGCACCTTAGAGGCTAACAAAAATATACATATATAGTATCATGAGCCTTTGTGGGCACAACCTACTTCTTCAGATGCAAGGAGCAAAAAGCCTTTGCTATAGAACTATGCATTTTTTAGTTTTTTTTTTTTTTTTTTAATTACAGACTAATGGGGCTACCCCTCTGAGATTTTTAAACGTGCTGTTCATACTGGTACTTTTTGCAGCAAAACTTTTCTCTTGTTGCAAGAGAGGGATATTAGCATCTTTGAACAACAGAAGTTTTGTAGTTCAGCTGCTCGTGCAGATATAGCTTAAGTGATTCTTCCTTATCTCCCCCAAGGCACCAAGAACCCTGAAGAACAAGGAAAGAAGCTCTGGACCGGGGGAGTGAGAAGTCCTGGTGGAAAGGCATCCTGCCAATAAGACTGCAAAAGCATATGGTAAGAAACCTTTGCTTTGAATTCATTTAGCTTACGTTAGGTGTTACTTGTGTTTTACCTTTTATTTTCCTGTATTTTTCTGTTGATAATAAACTTGTTTTATTGTTTTATCTAGACAAGTATGTTTGGACTGAAGTATCTGGGAAACTCCATTTGAGGTAATGGGATTTGTGGATATTATTTTCTATTGATCAAGTGCTAGACTTTATAAGAGCTTGTATTGTCCGGGAGAGAGCTGGGCAATATGAAAGATACACTTCTGGGGACAAGTCTGGAAATTGGAATTTGTTGGTGTTGGTCTACAGTATAATTCAGAAATGGCTTGATACAGAACTCACACTACAGCTGGGAGTAATCTACATGCAGGAGTTTGTGCTGTGAGCAGTCCAGAAGTGGTGCTCTTACAACGAGGCCGTGTAAAAGGCACCTGGGTTGGAGAATTGACAAGACGGAGCTGATCAATAGGCCAGGTGGTACTCTGATTAATGCCACACATGTTAAGCAGACTTCAACTATCACTAGTCAATGGATGACACTATTATTCTCAGGAGTGAAGAGAAACATAGCAAGGCAAATTCTCCAACTATGAATTTTGAATAGAAATAAGCTAAACATGTTTTATGAAACCTCCATCACAACAGAGGTAATGGCTATAATGTATAGACAAGTAACATCTCAAAAATAGATTATTTCAATCCACCCAACTCCTCAACTTCAGATTGTCCCTTCAGGACAAGGTTGAAGCTCAATGATAGAGTAATGTAGGGCCTACACTGCTATAATCTATAGCATACTTATTTCTTGAACAGAAAGTATCAGCTTCCAAGAATATTAGCAAAGGATTTGCAGAAATGGATTTGAAAATGTTGAAGTCTGCTATTTAAAATCCTATTAAGGAATGAACTTGGATTTAAAGAAATAGTAGTATGAAAGAGCAGTTTCTCCTGAAGTTGTCTGCAAGTTTCTTAGTCCTAGTCTACACTAAGACCTTATTCCAAAATAACCCCCAAATTTGAATTTATAAGCAGTGTGTGTGTACCCACTACCAAACCTGTTATTTCAAATAGTGGCTGAAGAATTCGAACGCTGTACTCCTGCTTTTCAAGAGGAGTAATGTTGATTCCAAAATAGTAATTTTAAAATAACGGTAGTATAGATACTCCAGTGCAAATAATTTGAAGTAATTGTTCTCCAGGAGGCCTCCTATAGCTCCCTATAGTGCTTTGTGTGGAGCTGTAGGAGGTAAGTCTAAGGTAGCGTGTCCACATTAACGGAGCCTGCCTTGGATTAATTTTGATGCTTCCCCATAATGAAGACATTCTAGTTTGAATTTGGTAAGTTGGGAGTTCTTAAGTCAAATTTAGTAATTTTGAAATAATTTCCTACTGTAGACATGACCTTACTGAAGAAAGAAGACTGAATTTCTAGTAACAATGAAACTTAATATATTTGAGAACCAAGAAATCTCAGACAGCTAGTGACATGAGCCAGCCTTACTGAGCTATGAAAATCCAAATTAGAGTAACTGTTGAAGTCTACTAATTGGATTGGGCCAGAGAATTCTAGTTATAATGGAGCAGAGAAAGAAGGATGAGAGAGAGGATAAAGTACCTCCAGTAACTACTAGAAGACTCTCTTTCTTCTCTTTTTCAAAGCGAGTTGCCATTTCTTCCTGCGAGGCCTCCTCTTCCTCCTTTTCTTCTTGCAGCCTCTTCATTCTTTCCATTAAAGCCTCCAGCTCACTCAAAGAATCCACAAACTGAAAAAAACCCAAACATAATATTTTGGAAAATTATAAAGTAAATGGCATCATAGTTGTCTAGGAATAAAAATTCAAATTAATATTCTCAAAGGTTATTTTGAAAATCCAGCATATGGTACATATATTTTGAGTGCACTAAGTGAAAGAAATCTTTAAAAAAATCTTTCACAAAGGATCTATCCTATGCTTCAATGTAAACCCAGGGTTAGTTGGAGTCAAGTCAGCTGACCCACATTAGAGAATCCTAGCCTTGAGCACTTACTGTGAATCTTAATTTATGTTAAGGCTTTTCTAATCTAAGCTTGAAACAGAGGTACTGTTGTCCATGCTGTAGCATGCTGACACAAGTCAAAGGGTACGTTTAGACTACATGCCTCTGGCGACAGAGGCATGTAGATTAGACTACGAGGCATAGGAAAATGAAGTGGCGATTTCAATAATCGCCGCTTCATTTAAATTTACATGGCTGCCTCGCTGAGCCGATCAGCTGTTTGTCGGCTCAGCGCGGAATTCAGGACACGCGGGGGTCGACATCAAAGGCATTTGTCGACTTCCCAGGTTTGCCTCATCCCAGGAGGCATACCTGGGAGGTCGACAAATGCCTTTGATGTCAACCCCCACGCGTCCTGAATACCGCGCTGAGCCGACAAACAGCTGATCGGCTCAGCGAGGCAGCCATGTAAATTTAAATGAAGCGGCGATTATTTAAATTGCCGCTTCATTTTCCTATGCCTTGTAGTCTAATCTACATGCCTCTATCTCCAGAGGCGTGTAGTCTAGACATACCCAAACCAACCATCTCAGAGTTCCTAGTGCCCCTCCCAATATATGGCTGCTCTAACCTTTTGACTGTGATGTATTGTTGGAAAATTTTATTGCCTGTACTGCACATAAAAGGAAGTTTGAACAGCATGCCAACAGAGCCAGCCAGGGGGACATTTTGATACGTGGGCTTCTAGCTACCAGAGTCAGCAACATGGTGGAAGTCCCTTTTGTAGAACTTCTCTTCCTTGCATTTTCACTCTGCATTAAGAAATAGGTACAATTTCTGCGAGTTGGACATAGCAGCAGCTTTTTCTGATTTACCAAGAGCATCTTGACGCATTTCTTGATGGAGTAGTAGAAGGTAGTGGCAGAGGAGAAGAATCAAGTCATAGCAGATTCACACTGACAGATACTGCTTGGCACAATCAGCATAGCCACTGATGCTCTCTATATAAATCAGCATATGTGCACAAGCATAGGTTGGTGAAATCATGTAGTCATGCAGTCCTGGGATGACAAGCCACGGGTCCAGAACTTTTGCATGAAGAAAGCAACATTTTAAAGCTTTGTGAGCAGTTGGCTCTGACTCACTGCATAGACACACGTGAGGGCATCTTGCCTATCCTAAAGTAGTCTGTCCTAGCTGTTAGAAGCTTGTTATGCCAAACTGCTACAGGTTTGTCGTCAACTAGTTTGGTGTCAGAAAGTCAACTATGGGTAAAGTGGGCTTTTTTCTGAGGCATCTGGGCAAATGGTTTGCTCCAAAGTGGCAGGCTTTAAAGATATTACTGAGGTAACTGTTGAGATAAAATAAGGTTTCCTAAATATGCTGGGGTCATTGATGGAATCACTAGAGGGGTGTAATTTAGACATACTCTTACCGGCAAAGGGATGTAAATTAGACACATCGAAAGTGCAAATGAAGTCAGGATTTAAATACCCTGTACTTCATTTGCATAATGGCAGCCGCTGCTTTTTTCAAAACAAAAAAAAAAACCCCAGCAGTTTAGACGGGGCATTTTCAACAGAAATGCCCCATTTCGAAAGATCCTGTACTCATTTTTGATCTTTCAAAATGGGTCATTTCTGTTGAAAATGCCCCGTTTAAACTGCCATTTTTTTCCCCGAAAAGCCCCGTTTTGAGAAAAAGCTGTGACGCCATTATGCAAATGAAGCACAGGATATTTAAATCTTGACTTCATTTACACTTTCCATACATCTAATTTACATCCTTCTGCCGACAGAGGTGTGTAGTTTAGATGTAGCCTAATAGTTTACCCTCCTCAAGGAGGGAAATGAATACCTAAACAGTGAAGGATATTATTCCATTGTTATGCAGGCCCTTGTGGTCCATGGATTCATGAATGTCATCAGGAGCTGCACTGGAAAGTTCATGAGGCCAGCTTTTCACTGCTCGGGAGTCTATATTCATGGACAGGATGGCACACTATTCCTCAAATCACACTGGTCATAAACGAGTTCCTGTCCATACTGTTACTCTAGAGCTGGGCTACTCAACACACGGCCCTGTGGGTTGTATGCGGCCTGCTTGTTTGCGGCCCACGATGCAGTTTGGGTTTACACAGGGCCCATGGGTGGGAGCCAAAACAAAAAAAAAAAAGCAGTCAATATAATGGTCTTCTGTTGATATGCATTTTAGTAGTTACATTCGACGGTCATTGCTCATTAAAAGTGCTGCCATATTTGTGGAAATTGAGTAAATATTGCATTTTATTAATATCAGCAGAACTGACTTAAATGAAGCCTGTGCATTGTGTAGTCTTCCTTAACCTTTGTATTCATGCCTGTCCGTGTGAAAGAAGCTATTTGCATATATATATTTGCATGAATATGCAACCACACTTAAGTTGTGGCCCTCAGCATGTGCTGTATCATTGTGGCCTCTTGGGCTTCCATAGTTGAGTAGCCCTGTTCCAGAGGAACCTGCATATCCTTCCCATCCCTTTTGCCTTAGCTTATGAAACCACATCCTGGTTTCAGAGGCCCTGGGTTTAATTGCACTCACCAGATGTAGAATGCTTGTACAATGTGTTTTTGGCGATTAAAATCCCATTTGAGATCTCTACAGGAGTGTTTCGATGCCAATATCATCAGTGCTGTTCGCACTGCTGTGGTCTGTTATGCTGTTCACATACTGTGAAGCCAGAGGTGAGCCATTTCTCCCTAACTGGACCTATGACAGTGGCGAGCAAGAAAGAGCACCTGATACAGCTAGACCTGGCTGCACCCAGGCAACAGAAGTCAGGGATGGTTTATGCTTGCACATTAGGAACTCATATGGTCCAGTGAAAGAGGAGGAAATAGTACCTGTAAGAATGTGCTTGTGGGGGGAACTGCTATGCAATTATCTTATGAATTACACACAAAAAATAATGAAGGCAGGTGGAGAGGGGGCATAACAACAGGGCTCATCTAAGGAAAAACTACTGCACTTTGGATTGCTATACCTAACTGCATGTTGAATAGTGTTAGCTTAATAATGTCTAATTACTCCTGATCTTGTTTTTAGCTTTATCATCTCAAATCATGATTGTATGATATGATGAAACAATACCAAGCTTTCTTGCTGACATTTAGGGGTTTATTTATAAATATATTAAAATAGTACTATAGGTATCCATTGCTAGGCAGGGCAGCCACCAGTATGACACCCCAAAACAAGTAACAAAAGAACATTTTCAAAAAGACACAATATAAACCCTCTATGGATGAATATCCCATTGCTCTTCATTCTCCTTTCCCATCTCTGTTTTCTATGCACTTGACACAGCGATGAATGTAGCCACAGAAGGTGTTCATGAGTGAAGGTTGCATGGGGTTTACTTGCTCTGCCCAGACACTCATGGAGCTTGAATGCATGGGCCACCCCAACATTGAATTGTTCAAGCTACTTCTGGTTGGAAAGTTTTATTGCAGGACGAGGCAGCAGGAGCCGATGCTCTTCCAGGCATGATGGAAATAGGCTCTGAAACAGTTCTCGGTTGAGCTCCTCCCTAAGCTGCTGTTCTTGTTCTAGGAATTGTATACATGTGCCTGCTCCCTCACTGAAACCTTGTCTTCCACTTGTGTGGCAAGTCTGAACCTTTCCTTGTGCTTCTCAGCACACAGTTACTCCAGTCTTACAACCCTTTGCTGCCGGTAATGGACCTGCTTGTCAACCCTCTCAAGAACCTCAACCATAATTTCACCATGGAAACATTTTTGCATGGAATGTCCAGGAAGGTATGCAGGGATCAAGTGTATGTAGAAAAATATATAAAAAAAATATATAAAAACGGACAGTGATAGAACATCATATCTATGAATAGAGGAGATTAATCAGCTAGTGAGGGGGATTCTGAAAAATACACCTTTCCCCTCAATATGGCTATCAATCTGGAATTCCTACTTCAGGGAAAGTTTGCAGCCATCAGCAACCAGGATAGGGTCAGAATCCATGAGAAAATTAACATGATGCTACATTAGCTTACACATGGGCTTACCTTATGACTTGCATGTAGACACACAGAACTCCACAGCCTTCCTACTCTTCTGCCCCCAGCACATTTCTGGACAAAAATTCATACCCCAGTCATACCTGGGAGAAATGATTTTGTCACCCACAGGCATCATGGATTATCTCTAACTGACATGACTGCTATGTCTACACAGCAGCGTTATTTTGGAATAATTGATGTTATTCTGAAATAACGAAGAGCGTGTCTACACTGCAAGCCATTATTTCGAAACAACGGTGAGGAAGAGTGTTCTTCCCTCGACTTCCTGCTCTGCAGACAGCGCTAAAAGCTGAAATAACTTATTTCGACTTCAGCTACACAATTGATGTAGCTCAAGGTGTATAGCTTAATTCAACTTTTACCCTGTTGTGCAGATGTGCCCTAAATGTGGAAATGAGACACTGTTTCCCAAATACACATGGACTTCACTGTTTCCAGGCAGCTCCACAGTCCATTAAATAAAGTCAAACTTAAAGCCTTTACTACTTAAAGGAAAACATGAATGACCCCAACAAACGTGTAAAAAAGACATTTTAGAATATGTTTTTACTGTTTGCAATTCCCAGTTGCCATTTTGAACTAAACATGGCAGGGGAGGAGGGAAGGAGAATGTCAAGGCACTGAGATACAATCCAACATTATCTGATTAGCCAGAGTTTCTCATAATTTCTTCATTGGTTCCTAGAATAGAAATCCCTCCCATTGCTGTAATAATAAACTTTAAACAGGACTCAAAGTTACCGGGAACAGGTGTGGCTTCTTTCTCCTCCATGTTTGCTGCAGGCTGAGCAGCAGCCTGTTTGTTAGGCAGGGGGAGGGAGCCTCAAACAGATATAAGTATGGACCTAGAATTTGATTCCATAGCCTACACTGGGACCAGTTTCAGAATCCATTACTTTCTACTCTTTTCTTGGCACCTGCTTCCAGCAGTTCTCATGATGGATTCAGGGGACAGGAAGGCACTGTCCTGGCTGTCCATGGATGCAATATACAACAGCTAGCTGCAGGCTAGCAGTTCCCATCACTTGGTTAAATTCCTCATAAAATGAGCATGAGGTTGGAGAGTTGCCTGAGATGAAGCTCTGGTCCCTGGTCTTCCTTGCAGCTTAATCCAATCCTGGACTTGGTCACCAGTGCAGAAAATTTACAAAGCTCCCAGCTTTTTAGTGATCTGCTGATGTGTGCTTATTCTTAGTACTTTTGCTGAAGATGACAGTTTTACTGACTTGACATTGAAAAGTCACCAAAATCTGGCCGTGCTCTCATGCCCACAAAGCAGCATGCAGTGTAAAAGTCTTGTTCTGTTGGGTCTCCACTGCAACAATAGAAGGTTCCCTGATGGTGTGTTTGCCTCTCAAGCTATGTCTACACTGCAGTCTTCTGTTGGCAGAGACAATGCAAATGAAGCGTTCATTAGCATTTGTCGCACTGTCATTTGAATATTCTCTGCCAATGCTTTTTGCGGAAGAGGTTTTTGCGCAAAAACAAGCAGTGTAGATGGGGCCTTTTTGAGCAACATCCCCCTTTTGCACAAGATCCCTTATACCTCAAAAAAGGAGGTATACAGGATATTGTACAAGATTTTTTTTGCGCAAAACGTCCCTATCTACACTGCTTGTTTTTGAGCAAAAACCTCTTCTGCAAAAAGCATTGGCAGAGAATATGCAAATGTCAGCATGACAAATGCTAACGAGAGCTTCATTTGCATTGTCTACAAAAGGCTACAGCATAGATGTAGCCTCAGTGATTAGAAGGAAGTGAAAGAAGTAGAAGAAGTACACTGGGGAGGGTGGCTTCTATTTTGAATTGAGTTGACTGAAGATTGACAGAAATTAAGAAAGTTATCCCATGGGATTGTGGGATTCTTCAGGCAGACTCCCAAAACAAGAGTTAAGTGGGGCTGTGTCTACACTGCAAAGCAACAGGATTTTAACATGGAGTCCCAATGTGATTTAGACTTGTATCTGTAGCTCTAGATACTAGCCCTAGTTTAGCATGATGTGTGTACTTGAAAGGAGGAGGGGGGAAGGCTTGAGCCTGATCCTGTTCTTACACTGCAGGGTAGGCATACATAAAATTACAAGGAAAGGCAAAGAATAGGGATGGACCTGGGAGCACCATTCAAGCCTATCAAACTGTTTTATTGCAGCAGAGGTGATTGAGAAAGGCAGACATTGTTCGTAAAAGGAAACGGTAGCCATATTATATGTTACAATATTACGAATGTTCAGAAAAATTCACTTATCCCTGAATAAATATTGACATGTACTTTGGAAGACAGTTTTTAATATTAACATTGATTTTTCTGGTTCTACTGCTGCTGACAGACATCTTACAAATACTTCACAGTGGCTATGACACCAGCAATATAGGAACCCAACCTAGGAGAATAAATCAATATTTTATTCTATATTAAAGTTTATTAACTCAAACTTGTTGCCTTTACATATATATTACAAAGAAGAACCCTATACACATCTTGTAGTGACAAAAAAGGTCAGTTACAATCTTACTGAATTTATCATTCAGATATGCATAACCTAAATCTAGTTCTCTCCTTCAGTCTCTTACTTATGAAAAGGAGATTTTATTTCTTTTGTTAGCAATCATCTTAAGTGCTACTAATTAAAATGCATCAAGGATGCACGCCTCAAAAAATAGCCTAACAAAACACTCAGATTTATACATGTAATTAACTAGAGATCAAAATTCTCTCTGCTAGTTGATTCAGGAAAAAAATATCCTAGAAGTACATACTGGTTCTCATCTGCAGAAGTGAGACTTTGTTTAGTCTGCAGAAGAGAAGAGTGAGGGGGGATTTGATAGCAGCCTTCAATTTCCTGAAGGAAGGTTTCAAAGAGGATGGAGAGAGGCTGTTCACAGTAGCGACAGACGGCAGAACAAGGAGCAATGGTCTCAAGTTACAGTGGGAGAGGTGTAGGTTGGACATTAGGAAAACTATTTCACTAGGAGGGTGGTGAAGTACTGGAATGGGTCACCTCGGGAGATGGTAGAATCTCTATCCCTAGAGGTTTTTAAGTCTCAGCTTGACAAAGCCCTGGCTGGGTTGATTTAGTTGGGACTGGTCCTGCCTTGGGCAGGGAGCTGGACTTGATGACTTCCTGAGGTCTCTTCCAGCTCTATGATTCTAAGTGTTTCAAACATTGTTCTGTTTTGAGATCATTGACTTTAAATAGAACATAATTCTGATTATAATGTTGCAATTTTTTCAGTTTTGATCACAGCAACCTCTATTGCATGAGCCTCTGGAGCTCTAACAGCAATTTGTACTATTTAAAAAGCTAGGACTTCCAGCTGTCTACAAAAAAAAAGCCTTAATCTACCCCAGAAGGTAAGGGGCCAAGGAACTACTTGTTTTTTAAAAAAGTTGTTTTTAATCTCCCCCGGTAATTCAAGAGATCATCTATTAAAATCACTTTGAAATTGAAGCTTGTAATCAGAATTATGTGATTTTGAATCTGATATATTGCAAATTGTCAGGGATAAAATCTTATATGCCACTAGAACCTTAACATTCCAACAGTATATAAAAAACACATTTTTTAAAAAATCAGGTTTAAATAGGCAAAGAGTGGAAAAAGCCTAATACAAAACATAAGCAAGCAAAAGAATACTCTTGCAACACTGACCCCAAAGTTGCTACTTGTGAGGGAAGCATTTTCTATGTTGTTGTCGTTGGCAAGATCACAGACACAGAATTTGTTGACTGCAATAAGTCTGAAGCCATTAGAGGTATCCGGATCTCTCTCTGGATTAATGCCACTACCAAATACAAAACTCGCCAAGGCATGATAGTGGGCCAACAGCACCACAGCATGTACCAATTCAGGAAGAGACCAATTATTTTCTCCAGTCTTGACAAGTTTCTGAAATGAGAACAAAACAGAGGGTAAATACATGAGGTCTAGAGACCAACACAGAAAGAGTATGATAATGTATTATATGAACAGGATTAACTTCCAGCCTCCAAGAATAGTTTTTCTTTCATTCCAAACTACCCCCAAGCAAACAAAGGAGCATATACTGTCCTATTTTCTACCAAAAAGTTATCCGTGTTCTTTTCCATATTGGAGTGGGGGGGAGGAGGAGGGAGAACATATTTTTTACAAGAATAGTTTACACAATTACTTAATATCCTAATATCTTCAGATTTCTTCTGAATATATAGATTTCTCATTTAATATGAAAATTATAATAAATATAAAGCCTAAGTAGGTATTTTCATATTATTTAGAAATTTTCATGAATAAAATTATACTATTAATCTAGGTACATTTTGATGGCTACCTGAATGTGTTCTTTTGTGATCAGCCATGGTCGATGTGCAAGAAGTTTGTTTATTTCATTCAAATTTTTCAGTCTTTGTGGGATATATTCCAAACCATTCAACCATTCTGCAATCCCTCCAGTCTTCAGAAACTCATCAACATGCATATTTACTAGGTAAGAACACTGATGTCTGGCAGCAGCCTAAAGTGGTTAAAACAGTCAGGAAGAGCTTATATAAAAGCAACAGATTTAGATATGTTTACACTCCAAAAATATCCCAGAGCAACAGGACCGAGCCTGGGGGCTTGCCTACAAGTACAGTGCTGCAGTTGTACCCTGTAGCACTTTAGCAAAGACACTACTATACTGACAAAAGAGTGTTAATCAACCTCTATAAGAGGCAACAGCTATGTTGACTAGAGAGCAGGTAACTATCTGGCTCATGTGTGTGGATTTTTCAAACCCCCTCCCCTCAAGCAACAGTTAAATCAACTTAAGTTTGTACTGTAGATCTGGCATAAGTGAACTGACTCAGGTTTCCCACCCCGCTGTAGAGCAGACTCTGCAAGCCTAAGGCTTGGGGGTCTGGTTCTGGCTCCTGAGGCTCAGGGCTTCCCACCCCAGCATTGGGGAGACTGCTGCCTCCCCAATTGGGGAGATTGCCACCTCCCCACAGGGCTGAAGCACACAAAACTTACTAGCCTGGGCCCCACTAGGCTCTGGTGTGCGAGGGCAATACGGGGAGTGTCTTTCTCATTCTCAGTTGGGGGCTATGTTAGTGAGGATTTTTTTTTGTCCTTTTGGGGTTTTTTGGCTTCTTACTTGTGTGTGGCTCTCCCAATTGATTTTTTTTGTGGCTCACCTGTCCCTGGCCCAAAAAAGGTTCCCCACACCTGCTCTACAGGAAGGAAGACGCTAAGTTGTCAAGGCAGGTCTATTTATAAACACAATTTGAGGAGTTTTTCTGAAGAGCATCAAAGAGATAGGGAGGCAAATATGTGTTGTTATAAGAATTCTTGGTACATACCATTATAGCAATGTAGTGCCTGTAAGGCAAAGGAAGGGGCCCATCCATACGCAACATATAGAACTGGCTGCGGAGGAAAGACTCCAAGTACTGACTGTGTAAACTCATGACCTGTGTGATGTTGTCCAGGCGACCAGATGTTGAATATTCTTCCACAAGAAGGTTAGTACGTTCATTCAAACCATTTGCTTGCATAACCTTAAGAGCAAAGTAGACAATCTAAAAACAAAAAAAATATATGGACTCCCCCCTCCACTCAAGTAACCTTCATAAATACATAATTCAATTGCACAAGCAAATCCCCACTTCTGTGAACCTGGGGATGATTGTGCATACAGAGAATGCTTAAGAAAATAAAAGAATAAGAAATGTGCAAAGAAGCTGTACACTCAATGTTTCCATAAGAGTGGAGTCCAGTTTTCAATAAATCCTTCTGAAAATTGTATTCTTAGCTGGTACAAGTCAGCACAGGTTCATTAAAGTCAATGTGTCTATGCTAAAATACCATCTGAGAATTCAACCCAAAAATATTACTTCAAAGTTAGTAAGGACAGGACCCCAGGTTATATAACTAAACCAGAGAAATAGTCTATCTGCCACTTTCCCAGTTTTATATTTGTATAATTAAAGAGATTAAATGCCAGTTTTTCCATCATGCTCCTAATATTATTTAAAAGCTTCAGAGGGGTAGCCGAGTTAGTCTGTAACATTATTATTTAATACAGGAATTTAATGCACTCTTTAAAAACTGTTCTTTACTAGTCATTCTAGACAATCCTGACCTTGGGCTACAAGATGAAATCATGTTGTAGAACAGTAGCTCTTGAAATGCAAGCCTTAGCAAAAAACATTACCAGCTATTAGCCTGTGTTTTATCACCCAAGAACAACCATTCTGAACATGTTCATCTCTAGGGAAAAAAAAGTTGCAAGAAAGAGACCAGAATACCAAGAGTTATTCTTTAACTCCCGATAACAGAACATTACGGTAGCTAGTTTATCATTACAAATACTATGACCTTCTTTTCCACTCCAACAGGTTTACTGCAAATTAAAAGATAAAATCCCCACAACTATCAAATGTAGCTCTTTTTATGTTGATTTTTTTATTTCCCAATTACAAAAAATTTTGTATTTTAGTTTATGATGAACTGGCAAAGAGAAAAATGTTTCTTGATAAATCATGTTTTATTCAAATGAGTTACTAAAACTTATTTTTACCTCAAGGATTCCTTGTTTTAGACTGTAGAAGCAGAAGGCAGAGGTGGAAGAGTCTTTTCAATCATCTTGCCAACTAGTCCAAACATCTTTCCAAGAAGAATTGTTCCCTGCAATGCTTCTTTTTGTGCTTTGTACCAAGCAATGGACCTTCCACCATTCTTACTGGGAGGCTGTACTGACCATAAGACACTGTTGATTTTCAGAATTTGCCTATACTAGAAATGCTACTGTGGCACAGCTGCAATGCTGTAAGGTAGCCACTTGATGGAAAGGTTCTTTCAAAGCTGTAGTAAATTTCACCTTTCCAAGAGGCAGCAGATAGGTGTTTGTCAATGTACACTGAGGCTTAGATCAGTTTAACATTCATACCCCTGAGCAATGTCAGTAGGTTGACCCAAGTTTTAGTTAGAGACCAGGTCTAAATCTGGTCTTAATTTTATCCCATTAGTTCTGGTTATATTACTACACACCACTTCAATAATTCCTCTCATTCCTTGGCGATTACATCCTTCAATTATTTCTAGAAGAGTGTCTCTGTTAAGTAGTCTCTTCGGAAAACTATCCATATTTGTCTCTCTCTTTCCTTGTAAGTTTCTACCTCCAGTTCTGATCATCTTTGCCAGTTTTCTCTACACTTCATATAGCTTGTCAGCATTTTTCTTCAAATAAAGTACTGAGAACTGAAAACTGATTTCAGGTGCAGTTAAATTTTTGGCAGAGAGGATTTGTGCCTTGTATAGGCAATTACAGAACTACACTCTGATCATTACAGCTTCCCTGGCTTATCTTCACAACATGTGCTTTTGGATAATTTTCCTCTGGATAGATCAGCTAACATTTTCCAGGCTCACTTTGTATTTTCTGAAGCTTCAGGGAGTAGCCAAATTAGTCCGTACAGGATAAACTTAAAAAACAACAAATGGTCTGGTAGCACTTTATTTTGGGTCTGCACATTCTAAACTCAAAACTCCGGTCATCTGAAGAAGTAGGCTATGCCCATGAAAGCTCATGATACCATCTATGTGTTTTGTTAGCCTAATTCGAACTACCAACTCCGTGCCACGTGTAGCCGCGGGCACGGAGTCCGAACTACTGGGGCTTTAAAAATGGCGGCGCCCGGTAAGATGCAAATGAAGCCTGGGGTATTTAAATCCCGGGCTTCATTTGCAACTTCGGTTGCCTACATTAACCACCCTAGTTCGAACTAAGTGCTACCAGACCATCTGTTGTTTTTTAAGTTTATTTTGTATTTTCTGACTGTGTACCTAGTTCAACAGGTATTACTCTTTTACTCTAACGGGTATCTTTGCAAATTAATATCCCCTGTGGATTTAAAAAAAAAGCCTTTCCAGACTTTTACAGAATCCTACCCCTTTCTGATTCATGTTTGCCATTACCTATTTCTTCACTCCTGTTTTCAATCTATTCCACAATGCTCTTGCCAAAGTCCATTTTCATTAATTTTTCAAGCTTTGACATTTACCTAATTGTTTTATTAAATTACAGTTCTATCAAGTGCATTTCCTTCATCCACTATATTGATAACTATTACGAAAACAAAGTCAAGCCAGCTAGCAATGTTAGTCTTTATACCACTGCTTATTTATAGTTGAAATTTCCTATAGAAATTTGATGATTTGTTTGAATATTAGCTCCCTATTTCTTTAGTGGTAGAAGTCAAGTTTATGGGCAAGTAATTACCAGAATTATACTCCTTTCTGAAGACAAAGGCCTGGTTTACACTAGGCATTTACAATAATATAGCTATTCAACTGTACTGGCCTAACCCTGGTGTAAACAGTGCAAGGTCAACAAAATAATTCTTTCATTAACCTAGCTACTGCCTCTCCTGGAGGCGGATTACCTTCGTCCACAGGAGAGGTTTTACACAAGAGCTACAGCAATGCCACTGTACATTTTACACATCCTTTTATATGGGTTTCCAGGACCCTTCCTATCAGGACAGATTTTAACTGATATAGTACTCTCATTAGACAATTTTCCTCAAAATCTACATGTTCAGATTCAATATATTAACTTTCTGCTTTTTATGACATTTTCCTTCTTTTCTAGTTGTCCAAAGTTCATTGTTTTCATCAGCCACTTGCTTTTAAGTGTGATATTACTTGAAGTTTTTTCACACACCCCTTTGCAACTTTGGGAATCTGTTTTTTGTTGCCCTGATCTTCTCCCTGCAAGCTTCAACATAATCTTTATCCTTGTTTGTTTCCTCTCTAACTCTCCATTTCCAGTACACATTTTAAAAGTTTTTTGGTTCTGATACGGAAATATTTGAGCAAGATTTCATGATATTTAGTCTTTATAAATGCTAGTTATTGCTCATGGGTCTAATATATCACAGTCCTAAAAATTCATATTTTGGCATATATCATAGGACCCAACCTGAGTTTGCACCTTTACAACTATACAATTCATTTTATTATGAACATAGTTGTGTCCTACCAAATTAATCACAGCTTCACTTTTTTGAAAAATGAAAGTCAGATCCTGCTAAAATTATTCAACATTTATGCTTCAGTATTGCCCAAAGACTACAACTAGGTATGTCCCCACTGGGGCAGGTATTATATAAATGAGTCCCCCAGTCTCCTAAAAAGTTGACAATGTGTTTGCAGGTCCTGTAGATTTAATGAGAATTGCATTTATGTAGTTGAAGACCGAAATTAATCCACAAGTTAATGGGAGCTACCTGATAAGGGGTAAACTTTGACGTGTACTCTGATTCTCACATTAAGTGATCCTTTAATCCACAAAAACTGCACTGGATTCTCAATAGGACTTCTTATAGATTAAAATACTCCTCAATAAATGTAAAGTACCTGAAATTGGCCCTGAACATTTTCAATATTCAGTTACTATGTATGCAGGAGTAGAGTAGTTTTAGTTTGCAAACTTACTTCTTTCTCTGGTATAAAGGCACTTGGTCCTCTTGTTAATGGCTGAGAGACTCGGATTCTTTTTTCCTATGAAGAAACATCACATGCTTTTATTACAATTAGCAAGGATAACATATTTACTTACTTTATCTTACAAGATTAGATTCTGAAGGCCAGGGCTCAGTTATCTTTTAAGGACTGTCTGCATGTTTTACTACTCGTTAACAGATGATGCTAACATGCCATATCAGTTGGATTGATTTTAGGGATTTAAAGGGTTACCTGGGTGATACTCGCTGAGTAAGTTGTTAACTGGTGGCCCAGTTGGGCAGGAGCAGCACCCAGCCTGGCCAGGCCCTCTGTGCTGCGAGCAGGGGCCACTCTAGCCCAGCCAAAGCAGCTCTCTGTCCATGGCACAGTGTGGCAGGCTCAAGCACCCCATTGCCCATGGTGCAATGCAAGTAACAGTCATGGGTCAGCCTGAGCAGGGCCGATTGGGCACACCACACCTGATTAACTGGTTAAACTTAATGTTAAATCTCATTTAAAAAGTTAATTGATTTAGTGGTCCTTTACAATGCTCTCTAATAGACAGCATGAAGTTTGTCCAGTGACGGTATCGCCCCCCCCCCCCCCCCACACACACACTCTCTCTCTCTCTCTAACTTTGACTACTTTACAGATCTATACAAGAAGATGTGACAAGAGTGCTCCAAATTCTGACACAATAGGTCAAAGCAAACAAACTTCCAGAATAGAAATACAGAACTCAAAGAAAATTCTAGCATAATACTAGACATTGTAGTAAGATGAGGGTCTGAAACATAAGCCCACATATCATAGGCCGGGTATGAGGCCTGAGGCCTAGACAGCAAGGGTCAAGACTTTGCTAATATAAAGCAAAGTTAAGCTAGGAACAAAAGGCAGGCCCTGTGAACACTCATACTTAAAGAGAGGAACTAGCACAGGCTGAAAGCACATTCTAGATGGGTCATAACAGAACACCTTGTTAAACATCTTGGAACCAACATACACTCCACAAATAACATACATAGCAACTCAGTATCAGGACGGGGTCTAAACTGACAACATGATGGATAGTAATGGAAACCCCCCTTCTATGAGGTAAGGGGTGGTAACTAGGTACCAGAGGGTAGCAACCTGATACGTTAGGAGTGATATGTAACTTGTATGTACCTATGTTTAAAAGTGCACCCCAAAAGGGTGGTCGTCAGCTGGATCCAGAGTGTTTAGTAGGGTGTTAGTCTGTTGTCACGGCATACACATATATAGTGGCACGGCAGTGAGTCTGTTAGCTGACAACTATTATTGTACTTCGCTTGGCAATAAACCTACTCAGGTGTTTTCACTCTGATTTGTGATCTCTGGGGGGCTCTCTCGGAGTCTGTTGTGTTGACTAATTGCACATGGTTAACACATTAGATGGGGAGCACATGCACGCATGCAGCCAAAAGTTTATCATAATCGACAGATTAGAGGACCTGTCAGGAACCCATTGGGATGACCCCACCTGACTAACAGACATAAGACTGGCATGGCTGCACATGGGAGATGGTTCTCAAATTCCATTTCCCTCAACACTAAATTGGATTATATAATGTTTGCTGAGGACTTTGAAGATTGGAAATGTTCTGAAGTGGTAAGTATTCTTACAAAAAAAGCTATTACACATATAGCAACCAGAGCAAATTAAGAACTTGTACTAGAAAAACTATGCCTCCACTCTTTAAAGAAAAGATCACCTAATTGAGCTGTATTCAATTCAGAAGAGACTAGTGGATACAAGGCACAAACTAAAGCTAAGGAAAAGCTCAGGCCACAAAAAGAATTAAAGTCAAGTTTCTTTGTACAGAATGTGTTTACTACACAATAGGCAGAGTATTTTTTCTAAGAAAAGAACTGAACTAAGATTTCAAGAAAATATATGGGTCTGAAGCTAGCTTCCATTGACTTACATGGTAGTCTTTAAACTGACTTTAAAAGGAGCAGGATCAAATCTAAGATGAGTATATCCAAATGCTAAGACAGTAAGAGGTGAGTGAAGTTACTCCTTGTAACTTTTTGCACTACTATTATGAATATCGTTAAAGTGCATGGGATTCTGTATGCATATGTTACAATAATATGTCCCATTGATTAAGCTACTAGATAATTTCAACCTTCATAAGAATGAATTACAGTAAAACTCCATTGGTCCGGCATTCAATGCTCCGGTACCATTGGGAACCCGGAAGTGCTCTGGGCAGCCAGACAATTGGAGCTGCTCTGCGCCCGGCTTCCCCAATTCAGCTGCTGCTGAAACTGACTAGCAGCTGAATCGGGAAAGCCGGGGGCAGAGCGCACCCCCCCCACCCCCCCCCCAACTGCTCTGCCCCAGACGTCCCCGGTTCAACCGCTGCTGAAACTGACCAGCAGTGGCTGAATCGGGGATGCCTGGGGCAGAGCCGGACTATCGGAAGGGGGGCTATGAGAGGTCTGGGGTAGCATCCCTCCCCACCCCACTCCAGACCCCTCGAAGCTTCCCCTTCCAATAGTCTGGCATATCTGATAATCCGGCACCCCCTGGGTCCTAAAGGTGCCGGATTATCGGAAGTTTACTGTAGTTTTGATTTATTGGTTTATCAGTAGTCCTATATCACTAACCTTGGAAAATATTTGTAGCCTGATTTCATCAGTTCATATATGCAAGGTGATGAAGATTTGCAGGCAACCACTACATAACTATGAATTATTATATGCTTTGTAAACAACTATGAAGTTCTGAAGTAAACAGATGCTCTACATCAAAATGTGTGGACAAGTTTCATGGACAGATGCCAACCAGTTTGAGTGCTGGGAGAAAAATTAAAAAAAAAAAAATCAATCTTTGCTCTAAAAATATGCATTATTTCTTTCACCTCAAGTAAAATGATGAAAGATGCTTTCCAAGAGCAGCATAAATATCTTCCCCCCATGACTTATGAACCCTCTCAAGCTTTTTTTAAATCAAAATGCTTGTAGCCATTCAACTACTTTCCTTTCAAATGCATTAATTCTTACTCTCTCAGGGTATGTCTACACTACCCTGCTAGTTCGAACTAGCGGGGTAATGTAGGCATACCGCACTTGCAAATGAAGCCCGGGATTTGAATTTCCCGGGCTTCATTTGCATAAGCGGGGAGCCGCCGTTTTTAAAACCCCGCTGGTTCGAACCCCGTGCAGCGCGGCTACACGGGGCACGAACTAGGTAGTTCGAACTAGGCTTCCTAGTTCGAACTACCGTTACTGCCATTAGAGATATGTTTGATAGATGCTCTAATTTTGTAAATGAATAAGTGAGCTGTTCTGAGATTACATTAAACACTAATCTTTGCAACAGATTTCAGCATAGGGAAATAAAATGTAAGGGTGGGAATCTCTGGCCCATAGGCCAGATGCAATTCAGCAGGGTTAGATGGTTTTTTACCCAATGCCTGCAAGGTTAATCATTCCCAGCCAAGGGGAGCTGCAGAAAGCAGTGTGTACTTGGCCATCGTTTCCCACAGCTCCCCTTGGCCGGGAACAGTGAACCGTGTATAGGAGATGTTTCACCTCTCCTGGTCAAACATGTTTGCTATGGACACCTGCCTGTGATTTTGGAAGGAGGTCAGTGGCAGCTGAATCGGGGACAGCTGGGGTACTGCCGGATTGGTCCCACAGCACCGAGGGGCAGCGCTATGGAACCTCCCGGCAGCACTCCAGCTGTTCTGCCCCCAGCTTCCCCGATTCAGCCGCAGGTCAGTTTCAGCAGTGGCTGAATCGGGGAAGCCGGGGGAAGAGCAGCTCCAATGGTCCGGCTGCCCGAAGCACTTCCGGGTTCCTGATGGTGCCAGACCATCAGGAGCGCCAGACCATCAGATGCCGGACCAATGGAGTTTTACCGTACCTGCTGTTGAAAAGCTTTGACCTAGCCCTTCTTCCAATGTATGCCAATCTGATACTGAGAAATTACACACCAGACCATACCAATATTTGCCACTACATCTTTCCTTGGAAACTGGGCTCTATGGAATCAAAGCTTAGCTCCACCTCCTTCAGAGAGGCATGCAATGGCAAGTATTCTGAGCATGTTCAAAAGGCTCACTGCAGCTTTTAAAAGGCAGCCTGGGTAATTTATCTTCCTTTCCCCATGTTGTTTTTACCAAGGAGGGAGGAAGGATTCACGCTACAGACTGTACTCAAAGGCCAACTTCCACAATGCAAGATTTTAAGTAACAGTCTGCTGCATCAGTATCATTAATGTATTACTCTTTTCTGGGTTCTAATCCTAGTTCTGACAGACTGCGTGGGGCTTCAGCAAACACTTATTGGTATTTCCCTTCCCAGAGATAAATCATAAGCAGGATTTTTTAGGCAGATTACTTAAGAGTTTTAGAACACTTAATCATCAGGTATTAAAATATAAAATAGTTTAATTCTGCAGGTTACACCACAGGATCAGAGGTTCCTTCATGCTTGCTAACTAATCTAGCATGCATATTGCCAAAACATGATAGATCCAAAGACTGTCCGGCATGTCATTTCAAAATTTATTTTTAGGAACTACAACAGGGTGGGTATCTGCTGTCAGATGCCAAGTGTTGAAGGGACAGTGGTGTATAGCAACTGTTTCCAACAATTGTATCAGCCAGGCTGACAAAAATAAAAGCGGGTAGTGGTGGCAAAAAGCACAGCACCATTCTCAAGTTTTATACTGCCCAAGGGATTCACCCCTTTATGTGAAAAGTATTCCTTAGTGACCAGCTCTTTCAGCTCTATTGCCCCATGGGCTGGTATAAAAGGGCCAGAATGGCAGGGAGAATCTGATCCACCAGCTCCAGCTCGAACTCCTCCACACTTACTACAGATTACTAACCAAAATATAATCGTCCATATATTAAATAGCAAAGGTCTGAATACAGACCTCTCCTCTACATGGCACCCTGTAATTAATCTGTCCCCATTCTGAGGAATGGCTTTCCACTATGTTTTTTGCTACAGAGGAACTTGATGAAAGATTTATGAACACATGACTACACAAATGTTAGTAACTTTGTCAGAGGGAAAAA